CACACACACACACACACACACACACACACACACACACACACACACCGTGCTTTCCTGCGACGGCCTTACACCACCACCCTCCCCCTTTCCTCTCTCCCCTTCCTGGGGCTGTCTAGGACAAAGCAGACCATTATCGTCCCTGACCCATCGCTGCTAGCCGTCGCCCAGGAGAAGTGTTCTCCTCCTGACCACACCTCCTGCTGTGTCCTCTATCTGAGCCAACACATTTGCACTTCCAGTTCCTCCGGCCTGTCGGTGGGCTTCTGCGGCCGGCTTCCCTCCACCTCCAGGGCCAACCTCGGGAAAGCTATGGCAGGACTGTCTCTTCCTAAGTCCCTAGTACTGGCTGCCACGTCTGTGGTACCCAGATTGTGGGTTCTGATATCCGGGCCTGTTCACACTTCTGGCAGCCTTCACCCATCCAACCGAAAGTCACTTCCAATCAGGGCTCTACTCTCCCCTCCTCAACACCTGGCGTGAGGCCTCTGTTTGCTGTCCTGTCTAGACAAAGACATAAAACTTATTTGCCACCCGCGACAGAGATGCATTCAGCCTGCTCCTGGCGACACCACAGTCACCCTCAAAGTCCACAGCCCTTTCTCATCTCAGCTTTTGCTGCTCTATTCGCCCCTTGGGCTCTCACAGCCACACCACAGCTAACAAGGTGTTTAGGGAGTCATCTGCCCACACCAGGACTCTAAGGAGCCACACAGTCCTGCTACTCAGGGACACACCACATTTTCACGCCCACTGGTAGGTGCTCACTCCTCTCCCAGGAGCACGGACTGGGCCCACTCCTGTCCACCGGGAACCCCACTGGCTACAGCCAAACACTGACAGCTTTCCTTCCTCTAAGCAGTTTGTCCAGGCCAAAGAGTCTCTGCGGGCTAATCCTCTCTCCCCGTCATCTGCACGCCATCACTCCTTTGCTCAGTCACTGTCAAATGCCAAACGCCACGAGCAAAAGGCTTTAAACTAGTAATGGACAGACCTCCAACCCCTAGGAGTACCCCGGCCTCCGGAAAGCCAGAACCCAAACCCCGCGTCCCCTCCCCCACACTCTGTCCTAGCCATGTTCCCAGGGACCAAGGCCAGGTCCACCTCCCCTGGGTGTCTCAAGCCAGGCCCAAATGTCCGTCCCTGCCAAGCCTGCCCATTGCTCAAGCATCACACACAGATTCAGGCCTCCAAGCTCTAATATGCCTGCCTGTTCCTCAGCTTCGCAAGGACCCCCCACTCGCGTGGTACCTCCAAAGGAGGGGCTGAGGCAAAGAATGGTCCTCCCTCCTCGACCCCGGAGAGGAGGGTCTAACGGCCCCCAGCAGGTCGCGTCTCGGCTTGTCTTTCCCCATTAAAGGTTTCCCCAGTAGTGCCTGGGCCTGGTTCCGCCGCC